AAGAGGGGTCCGTGCAGTTGGGGTCGGAGGTCCATGCCGCATCCCCGACGCATCGGCGACGCGGCTCGACGTTGCACCTGATTTTCTCCACGCCGGCGTCGCCAATGCATCGGCGATGCATCGGCGCTGCGGCGCGATCCTTCGACCCCATCTGCTCGGACCCCACTGGAGAGGCGTCTGGAGGAGGACCAGGGTGTTCGAAAAGGGGGCTGGGAAAGAGGGGGTCGGCACGACCTTATGCGTTTGCCCCCCCGCCCCCCTCTATAACCCTTGGAAAAGGGGGGTCAAACGCATGAGGTGGGCCCAACTTGGAGTCGGCTGGAGGTCTGAGGTGGACCAGGACTGATTCCAGCGATCAGGAAGGGGGTGCCGGGTTCGAGGCTTTTGGTTCGGATCGTTTTTTCTTTTTTCCGGCTCCCCAGGCCCGAGGATTTCCAAACATGGATTTGTCGGGGGCGGAAAAGAGGGGGGTGATGACTAGGGGGGGTTGGATATCATGGCGGGGGCCATGATATTTTCCCAGCTCTCATGGCGCCTCTTCTTGTTTCATTACGTCCCTGGCCCCCCCGCTGGGCCGCGCACATGCCGCCGGTCATGATTTGCACCCCCCCCTCTTGGACACCCCCCTCTTGGCCGCACCCGAAGATGGACCCGGGCGAGGTCTGGTCGGAGGAGTGTATATATACACCAATCCATTCCCCGGGTGTAGAATTTATAGCAGTTTTTTTTTTCGGTGCCGCTTGTTTTCCATTGCTTTTTCGTTTACATGTGCTTCATTTTCCCTCTGCTGCACCGCGCGTCTTCCTCCTCATTTACCCACCTCCCCCCGCCCCCCTCCGCTCGCAGCCGCGTCCGCTGCGTTGCCTGCTGCATGCTGCTGGTGGACCGTCGTTACCATCCGCTGCCGTTGCTGCGAACGTCGTGATCAGTTCGGTAATCCCCTCGCACGGATCGTGCCCCATATGAAGCTTCATCGACCATCCTGGCAGGGGCGTACTTAAAGTGTCTCCGCGCTCATTTCGGCACGCCCCCCAGCGCGGACTGCAGCCCGCAATGGGCTCCACCCGCAGGCTCAAGGGGGGCGCCCCCAAAGCTTATCCGCAACCACTGCGGCACGCCTTTCCCGCGGCTCGCGCCACTGATGGAATTTCGCCTACGGCCGTCGCGGGGGCGCTCCAAGTGCGCCTCCATGCCCGCGTCGGCACGCCCCTCGCGAAGATCGCGCCCATACAGTTGTGGCCCCATTTGGAATTCCCATGGCGTCTCCGCTCCCGTTTTTGGCACGCCTTTTCAAGCGGATGGCGCCCCACAAGGAGCGCCGCGTACAAGCCCAGTAAGGGCAGTCATATTTGCGCATGGCGTAATCGTGCAAATGTCTGCTTGCGTTTGAACAGATCGTGCTCCGCATGGCGGCTCCGCGCACGGCCCTGGCGCGGAGGCCCCCCCCCCTGGCTATGTCGTCGCACCTTTCAATCAGGTTGTGCTCCCTGTGGAGCTTCACCTGCAGTCCCAGCGGGGGCGTCCGCATGCGGTCGCCCACTTTCCATGGCCACGGGGGACTATGCAAAATCCGGAAACTATAGGAGAAAAATCCAAGGCCCGATTGGTGTATAAAATTTCGGGACGACGAAAATTTCGGAATGTATCAGGCAGAACGGCCCGCCGAAATTTTATACACCGATCAGGCCATAGGAATTCGCCCTATGAGCCTCCCAGAATTTCTGTGGCCCCGGTGACCCGGGGCTTCGCTCCCAGCCACCGATAGAACCGGCCACAGGCAGGCCGTGGCAGGCGGTGGTGCCCCATTTGTGTAGGATTGGAAACCACATCACAATACCTTGACGCTCCGTTTTCGTTTTTTATGGGGGTTAGAGGGGACGGAGAGGGCGGCAGGGATACGGGGCCTGGATGGAGCGATTGGGGGGGGGGATCGGGGCAGAGACGGGTGGGGAGTGAGAGGGAAAGGGAGGGGCTGGCGGGCGCAGGGAACGGGAGTGGGAGCGGGGAGTTCCGAGCGAAAGGCATGGGAGCGGGGAGGGGGATGGGTGAACGGACAGTGGGGGGTGGAGGAACGCAGGGGGGGGGAGGGAAGGAGTCTGTGAACGGAGACGGAGGCTGGAGGCGAGGTCGTGGCGGGGTCAATGGGGGGGCGATGGTGAGTTGGGAAGGGGGGGAGGGTGATCGTGGGGACGCGGGCCCGTCGCCCATATTTGGCTCAAACCCCCTTGGCGGCATCATTTCCAATCGGGCCAGAGTTTGTACTCCTCCCCTCCCCAATGTGGTGGATGGGTTGGGGTGCTGGCGAGCAGGCCCGCGCGCGTTCCCCGGCCAGCGCGCGGCCCTGTTTAAATTTTCTCGCGTGCCCGGCTACGGGCACGCATTCATGGCCTCGAAACGAGGCACCCCTCGCCTAGAGACGGCATCACCACCATGGGCGGCGGTTTTCCGCCATGGGTGCCGGGGCCGCTGCGGCCTTGCCCGCCCCTGGACAAACGCGCCCAGGCGGGGCGCATGGCGCTTGCTCCCTCTATCGGCCACTGCGCCAAAACCGCTTTGGCCCAACACTCAAAACAAAAATCGGCCCGAACAGGTCGGTGTATATACACACGCCTCCCATCTGGGGACCGATTCTGAGCGGACTCCACCCCGCCCCTCTCCCGACCGATTTGTCCTAGGGGCCCCGACCAGTTCAGATGCCCCCAGCGGCCTCTGCCCTGGCCCCCCTGGGAGCCCTCCATGATGAGGGGCACGCTGATCAGAGCCCCGAATCATCAGGGGTAACTCGGGTCAGGGCTAACTCGGGTTCCTTTTTCGGGAATCCAAGCCCGAGTTACCCCGGACCCGAGTTACCCCCGATAACTCGGGCGCCCAAGCTGAGGTCCGGGCGTCGCAATCTTAAAGAAAATGGGGAAGTTCCCGCCACCAGTTTCGGACCTCGGGGCCATCCAGAATCGTTTTCTTCTAGAGGAATTTGTGAGGGATCGAGGGTTCCTGTCGTGCTTTCGTACGGCGTTGCAGTTTCTCGCGAGGTCGGATCTCAGGGTCGGATGGGGGCGGATGACGTAGGAGGGCGGGGGAGCATTTTCTGTGGATCAGGGGCACAATGGCCGCCCTGCCCCACCTCCCCTGCTTCCCTTCTCCTCGTCGTTTCTCACTCCTCTGCGCTCTTCTCGCTCATCCCCTGTCGCAGGTCGGAGGGTGAATGCGGGAAGGGGGAGACTACCCCTTCCTTCCTTACTCCTTCCTCCCTCCCAGTTCCCCTCCATCACTCCTCCTCGTTTCTCCCCCCTCCTTCCTCAACCCTCCTCCTCCCTCCCCCGTCCTTCGTTTTCCTTTCCTTCCGCCCGCATCCTTCCTCGTTTTACTCCCTCTTCGTGCCTCCGTGCTGGCCTCCCGTGTAGGCTTCAAAAACTGGCCCCAGGATTGGGACAAGAGCTCTGGGGCCCGCCTGTTTTGGCATCGCCAAAACGTCGGAGGTATGGGAGGAGAAGGAACAGGAGGAGGAGGAGGAGGAGGAGGAGGAGGAGGAGGAGGAGGAGGACCAGTGCAAGCCCAAGAGTCACCAACGATGTTAGAATAAACCTTCCATCAAAGAACCTCTCTCCTAGGCCCCTTCAACGATTCACATCTACGGAAATAACTGCCTCGTTGGACGACAACCGTTTGGAGAATCTGAAGCATGCAATAACATTATTCTCGGGACTCCAACGCGACGGATCAACCTAATTGTCGCATCTTGGCGATCTTGAATCGCGCAAAACGCCATTGTTGGTTTTTCAACCCCGCGAATCAAAGTAATCATTGCGCCCTCATAATCTTGAATCTTTCCAAAGCACGATTTCTGGTACGATGACCATGGGAATCCGTGGAACCCTTGCGAGATTGTGAAACGAATGTGTGCGGCGCGAAGGCGAGAGCCACGTTTTGAAAAGATGCCGCCCTCAACTCGTGAAGCCCCTGAAATCTGTGGAGACGAATGTATGCGGCGCTAGGGCGAGAGCCACATCTTTTAAACGACCCGCCTTCAATCCGTGAACCTCTTGCAACTCTTTGAAGCGAATGTGCACGGCGATGGGGCGGGAGCCACATTTTTTAAACGACCCGCCTTCAACCCGTGAACCTCTTGCAACTCTTCAAAACGAATGTGCACGGCGATGGGGCGAGAGCCACATTTTGGAAACGACCCGCCTTCGACCCGTGAACCCCTTGCACTCCTTTAAAACGGATGTGCACGGCGATGGGGCGAGAGAGCCACACTTGGGAAACGACCTGCCCTCCACCCGTGAAGCTCCTGCAGAGTTTGAAGCGAGTGCGCGCGGCGATGAGGCCAGCGCCACATCTTGAGCACCACCCGCCCTCCATCTGCGGAACCGCTGCCAGTGTTTAAGCTTCTTGGCCATACGTGGTGAGGGAGTCTCCTGCGAAACGCCCGGCCCGCCTTTTCGACGGGTTTCGGGGTGCGACAGGGAGGAGCTCTTTTATGAGGAAAGGGCATGGAGCGGGAGAGCCCTGCGGGAAGGAGGGAGGAGAAGGAGGGCGAGCACAATAAAGGGGAGCTGGAGGAGGGAAGCTTCCCTCCTGCCTCCCTCTCCCTTTCCTCCTCCTGCTCCTCTTCGACTCCTCGCCTGCCGCCCGCTCCTGGCTCGTGTCCGCCTCTGCAGGGAAGCCTCATCACGCTCATGATTTGCAGTATTATTATTGTTTGTTTTTTTGTTACGTTATCTTATTATATGTTTTCTTATTACTTAATTTGAGTATTCGTGCTTGTATTATTCGTACGATTCGTCGTTTAGTATTATTCGTAGTATTATCATGACTGTTATGGTATGATCAGAACCACCATGAACATTATATTGGTATGTGTTATTTCTGATATGAGTATTCGCATGTGCCTTCTTCCTCCGTTTCGCGCGCGCATTCGGACCTCGGCGGCTCTCGGTTGCACTCGCCGGCTTTTGCCAGGCCTCGGAGGCCCGCGGAAGCCCTCGGCGGCCGCAGAGGTTCACGGACTTCGACCTCGCCACCGACGACGCCCTGGCCGCCAGCTTCTTCTTCGAGCTCGGCGAGCACGGCAGCGTCCTTCTGGAGCAGGAGCTCCGCCCACGGCGGAGGGACGGGAGGGTCGCGCGCGCCTCGTGGCGCGCAGGCAGCAGCAAGGACCCATAGGGGCCAGCGCCGAGGGGCGAGGGGGGTCGATCGAGCGCGGAGCGCTCCTCCGAGCCTCCCCCCCGTGGAGCCCCGTGGACGGCCCAGGATACGTTCGAGGAGGAGGCAGGACGGCCCTGGTGCTCCGTGCCTGGTGCTCCGTGCCCTCTCGGAGGCCTCGCGGGCCCCATGGAGGGGCCGAAGAAGGCGTCCCAGAGTCTCGACCCTCGATCGTCGTGGGTTGAACTCAGCAGCCGCAGGTGCGGCGGCAGAGAGGTGCGAAGCCGTGTGCCAGGTGGCAGGACGGCCCTGGAACTCCTGGCCCTCTCGGAGGCCTCGGAATGCCCGAGGAAGGCCGAAGATGTGCAGAGTCTCCTCGATTCTGGAGTGTCGCAGGCTGGGCTTCGTAGCCGCAGGCGCGAGGGGCCCGGAGAGCTCGGATGCACCGCGCCGCCCCGCCTCCCTCTCGCCACGCGTCCCGCGCGGAGCACACTGAGCGTTGGTAGCCGGCCGGAATTTCTGGTCGACCTCCACCATGTTGTGGGTGCTACTGTCGGCGCTTCTGGGGGGCCAGGCCTGTCGGGCAGGACGAGAGGGCAGTGTAGGGATGGGGAAAGGGGGGGTACGGAATCTGCTGCGTGCAGCTGGTTTCCGCCTCGCCGCCGGGTCCAGTCTTGGTGCACATGGGCGCCTCCCGGCGCCAGGAGGCGTTAGGAACACCAACTGCGCGAGCTGATTCCCTGCCTTTCCCATGTACTATCCCACCCTTTTCCCCCCCCCCCCCCCCCCCCGAGCCTGGGGCCCTGGAGGCGCCCACCGCCTTTGCGTTCCTTCTCCGCGCCCGCGAGCAGCGCCGACGTCGCGAGGTTGGGCCCGCGCGCGCGGCTCTGCCGCATGCGGGGCGGGGGTCTTGGCCGCAGGGCCTCCCCGGGGCCCTGGAGCCTCCGTCGAGGGGAGGGGCGGGCCGGACGGCAAGAGCACGCCGATGCAGTTTCCAGGACGACGACGACGACGACGACGACGACGACGACGACGACGACGACGACGACGACGACGACGACGACGACGGCGAACACGACGGCCTCGGCGGCGGCGACGACGATGACGACGGCAACTTCGAGGACGAGAACGACGGCGAAGAGGATGGCGAAGAGGAGGCCGATGCAGTTGTCTATCAGCATCCGGCTAGCGTTTCTTCCCTTGCGGAACTCGTGTGAGCCAAAATGGCTGAGTTGTAGATGCCGCAAGGTCGTGGAGGCACTGTCCCAGCACGACAGCACGAGCGTCAAAATTCATGGTGGGAAACATTGAGTGGGGTCGATTCCTCGCCAAGTAAGCGCTCGCGACCCCGCCCTCTCCCCCCCCTCCTGAACGTCGACGTCGATGGCGACGACGTCGAATACGATGCCTTCGTTTCTGATGTTTCTGGGCGCTTCTGGGGTCCAGGGCTGAGGCGACCTTGTCAGGTGCCCCCCAGTGCGCTCAGAGAGCATCCGGGGCCGTCGCGCATGTTCCCGCCCACTTCATCCTCGGCGCCTCCTCCTCCTCTTCCTCCCCTCCTCGCGTGGGTGCCCAGGCCTGAGGCGGGCCCTCTCACAGTGCCCACAGAGTGCAGCAAAAGGCGTCCGGGGCCCGTTCGCGCCTGTTCCTACCCGCGCGGAGGTCCTCGCCCTCCTCCGCCCTCCTCCTCCTCCTCCTTCTCCGTCCTCCGCCCTTTTCCTTTTCCTCCTCTTCCGTCCTCCGCCCTTGTCGTCTTCCGTTCTTCTCCTCCCTCCTCCTCCCCGTCCGTCCCCTCCTCCTCCTCCTCCTTCTCCTCCTCATGCTCCTCCTCCTGGCCGCCGTTTCGCAGCGCGGGTGGGATTCTGGCGCGCAAAGCGAGCCCGACATGCTTCGCGTCCGCACGCGGGGCCGCCGCCACGGCTAGGGATCGCGAGGGGGGGCGGCCGCAGCATGCATGTGGCGACCGCGCGAGTGGATGTACATAATCTGCCTCGTCACGTGCATCGTCACATGCAACCCCGTGCGCGCGACGTACCGCGACAAAATAATCGATATCAGCACAGTGTTGAAGGATTGGGGTTGTATCGTACGGACAGGTACATCAACATCAGTCCGGTCATCAGTGGGGGGTAAACTTCTGCTACAAACGCAGCAAAATAACCAGCAAGGCGTGCGGGGTAAGCTTTCGTGTCAAGAGCAACCTGCCCACACAGGCTCTCTACACAGCGGTGCGTCCAACAGCGGAGCTTCAAGGTAGAGAGGGTGGGTGAAATCCGGCTCTAAACTCAGTATTTACACTCGTTATCTTTGGCGTTGATTTCGCTTTGCTGAGCGCTCAGCGACAGGGATAAATTATTTGCAATATTATACAATGGCTCGTCGCAGATCGATACATCGGCCTCCCGCACCAATATGATTATCGGGGGCGGCATCAATGCGGACTTCGGCCGCTTTCGAAACACATGCTGATGTGCACAGGTATGTAACAGTTTCAGCCTGGGCGGGCATCGCCCGCGATTGGAACATCAGCATGGCCTGGCGTTCAGAGAGTTTTACGAGCGCAGCCACTTACTTTTCGATGCCACCTGCACGCGTGCTACGGACATCTTCGACGGACCCAGTTGTGGCCAGAGTCGCATGGAACATGTTGCGTCCCCAGTGAATGCGAGACCACGCTCAGGGCATGCACGCTCTTTTCGGCAGCGTGCCTTGTGCGCGGCAGGTCTTGCTCGGCACCTCCCCCGAACGGCCCGTCTACGCGGGCGGCGTTCGCGAGCGCGTTCGCGCGCGTCGCATGCGCGCGCTGGAGAGGAGAAGGGGGGCGCGGGCGCAGATGGTGGGGGCAAGAGGTGTGTGTGTGTGTGTGTGTGTGTGTGTGTGTTTGGGGCGGAGTTTCTAGATGTTCGCGAGGGTTTGATGGAGATCCCGGCTTGCATGATAAAGACTCACAAGCAGCGTGTGCAGACGTAGAAGAGCGGACGCAGCGGCGCAAGTCTGGAATGCTCACGCTGAGCAGCGCTACTTGGATATGCCCAACATCTGGATCATTCACCAGAGCAATGGCAGGGGGCTCGAACGTTGTTTGGAAGACAGCGCCCGGACGAACTGGATTGCACAGACATTGGGTGGCCAGTTCGGCAGGGTGGCGAAGACAGGAGGACTGGCGAGTGTTTGCATGCATCGGGGCGACAGCCACTACCGATGCGATTGCGATGACTACGAGCTCCGACTACGAGCTCCCGCCTATTGACCCTCAACGTCGGCGCCTAGTGCGACGAGACCTACGTGCCATGGTCCGACGTCCGACACTGTAAGAAGACAACCAAACGTCGCGCGTGCCCGAGTTGGGGCTTGCCCACGGAGGCTGTCTCACTCCCCCTCTGGCCCGCCGCTGACGTCGCTCCGCGCGAAGTTCAGTGAACGCACAGGGCGACGGCGCGCGCGACGGGTTGGAAATTGCGCATGGAGGCGGGCGGTTTCGGCGACGCCAGGTGCGCGACGCGCTCGCGCTCGCGCGCGACGCCAGGCGCCCCGCGATTCGAAGCGCGCGCAGCAAATGGCGGAGGGGCGGGGGCGCGGAGAGAAAGAGAGAGAGAGAGAGAGAGAGAGAGAGAGAGAGAGAGAGAGAGAGAGAGAGAGAGAGAGAGAGAGAGAGAGAGAGAGAGAGAGAGAGAGAGAGAGAGAGAGAGAAAGAGAGAGAGAGAGAGAGAGAGAGGGGATAACAGAGAGAGAGAGAGAGAGAGGGAGAGAGAAACAAAATAGATAGAGAGAGGGAAAGAGTCAGAGAGAGAGAGAGATAAAACAATAGATTAAGAGAGAGAGAGAGAGAGAGAGAGAGAGAGAGAGAGAGAGAGAGAGAGAGAGAGAGAGAGAGAGAGAGAGAGAGAGAGAGAGAGAGAGAGAGAGAGAGAGAGAGAGAGATCACAAAACACAAGAAGGGGGGCGCAGAGATCACCCGCGGCTTTCGCTCCTGATTTTATTGTTCCAAATTTACTTCCTCGCGGCGCTTCCACGGGCGGCGTCGAGGGCGAAGTCGCGAAGCGCCCGGTCTCTGAGCGAGGTGCGACGGCGAGGCGGGCGACGGAGATCCAGGCCACAATCGCGGCGGGACTCGGGGGCTGTCTCGAGAAGGGCGCGCGGGTTTCAAGCCCGAAGAGAACCGACGCTGGGGGGCCCCGCGTCGCTCGACCCGCGCGCGTTGGGCCCGCTATCCTGACGAGGGCCGGGCGGCGATGGCAGCCGTGTTCGGCGCGGCGGGCGCGGTCGGGGGCGCCCGTCCCTCGCCGGCAGGTCAGGCGCGCAGTTCATTTGCGCCGCGGGCGACACGGTAGCTCGCCGATTCCTAGATGCCGGCGGCAGTCGGTTCCGAGCAAGGCGACGACGCCGGCTTGCTTAGAGGGGCAGTCAGGGAATGGCCCCCCGATGCGCGGGCCCGTCGTGCACGCGCGCGATCGATAGGAATGGGGCGGGCGAGGAGACTGAGAGGGGGGGTGCGCGACGGCGGTGGGTAGGGGCGCGCTGAGCCATATGAGCGCGCCCACGTGAAGGGGGGGGGGGGGGGGGGCGGGGGGGGGGGCGGCGGAGGGGGGCGACAAAACATCATGCTGAAGGAGGTGTCAGAGTGCTGCAGGTCGACGGCTGCTTGAGTGCTGAAGGAGGTGTCCGAGTGCTTGTGCTCCGTCGAGAGGCCCGTGGAGCCGCCCCCTGTGGAGTGCGCTCATTGCATCCAATCGGTATCGCTGGTGCAAGAGTGGCTTCGTGGACGGGCGCGCCACCGCGGGCCGCGGCGGGAAGTGCCTCGGTGATCGCTCGAAGTGATGCCGCGAGCCGCGTGCTCCAAGTGGTCTTCAGTGTCGCATATTTTCCATTGTGGCTCAAGTCTACGATCTTTTCTGGGGGTCGTCCGCGCCCGCCTTCCTGGCCCGCGCGGGGTTGCGACGAGGGCG